TCTAACACCAGGTGGGAAATTGTTGACAGCTCTGCCCCTCTCTTTACCCAAGTGTCCAAATATGGAGTCAGAGATCAAATGAAATAATTGACCTCTGTCCTATATCCTAGTGTCATGTGCACTGATGGACATCCTTGTGCTCAAATATGGTGTTTATTAAAGACAATATGTGAAGAGCACAGAAGTCTGACAACGGAACATCACTTATTTTCATATTGGAGAGGCCGTTCCTCCCAGACTGCCTCATCTTAGCATGAGCAACTCTATAGCAGTCCAGCCCTTCCCAAATTTTTAGAAAGGTTTCATTGAGTTTTAAGCCCATATTGTTTGAAGATAAAAGCCAGACTCGTAGTAATTTCTGTTTAAACTCCTGCAAAAGCTGTGCCTCCCACAATGTGTTATTCCAAATCCAAAGAGTCAGTTTTTGTGTCCCAAGATTGGGTCACAGCCATGCTTTCAATATAGCGCCTAAAGCGAGCGAGCCAGGGCGAGCCCGCCGAATACTTTGGGCCAAAGAGGGCCAGCTGGGGCTTCGGGCGGAGTGAAAGGAGAGACGGACACTAGTTTTCCGATCGCATATGAGTACATGCGCCAAACAAATAAATAAGTAAGGGAAAGAAAACATCTAGCCTTATAGGCTGGGGTCTTTTTGCTTATGATCCCCTTTATGTTTCCCTTTTAAATGTAAGGCTGTTGCATAAAATAATAAAGTTTTAATTTATAAGTGAGTTTGCTGCGTTAAAAGCCCTGGCTTGCACTGGCCCAACAGTGGAAATGCGGCTATTGTGGCCCTGGCCTTTGACCAAGGTGCGAATTACAGGAGGGTTTGGGTGGACTGACCTCCAATTAACGCCTGATCCCCCCCTGAAAGATGTTAAAACATTATGTTTGTGGGGGTCAGCCCTATAATAGTGTAGATATAGATAGTTTTCTCTTATCTGCATCTTAATTCGTAATAATGATAATTAAAATAATAATGTACATATACATTTTACCACCCTTATAACACTTCATACCATTGTGAATGCATAATCATGCCAATCAGTGTGGACATCATAAGGGTTCTTGTAAAATAGCTGTTTGGATCTAGGTATAGCCTAAAACTAAAGTTAAAATAGATGCATAGATTTTATAGTTAGACCTTAAGTAACCTCTGAAATAGCTAATCAGAGGTTATTGTAGGTCGGAATACACAAAATATCCCTCAAAACATGGAAAACAATATTTTAATACATAACATTGATTGAATGAAGCATGTATTACACAAAAGAACATTACTGAAAAAGCAGCACCCTGCCTTTGACCACCTTCTACAGATGGTTGGTCCACACCTGGACGCTCACAAGTACCTTATTTTGGACTGTGCCTTGCCAGGCTCCATAGGGAAAGGCCAAATTCATAAGGATCCAGTTCTGAAGGACAAAATCAAATCCTGCCATCCATATAATGTATACATCTCAAAAACGAAGAAAAAAGGACCACAACATTAGTTTTATGCCAAAATTTTTGCTCTCATAAAATTTTATAAAACCTTCCCCCCAAGATGATGAACAATTAAAATACAAACATCCCATCAGAATCCATTCTGCTTAAATGAGCATACACAATTACACAGAGATAACAAAATGGCAAAACAGCAAAAGGCTCTTCACACTTCAAATAAAAAATCCTGGGTTATCTTGTATTATATTTTACATTGCTCACGGATCATTTGATTTACCAAAGGTTAATAATTAATGCAGTGTATTCATAAACTGCTTCTTCAGCCTTGTTTAACATCCTTATTTGAATATTTGCTGTATCGGTCAGATTGATCGATTGAATGAATGCAACATTTGATCACTTTACATACAGGCTCTAGCATCGTGCATCCTGATATCATATGTTACCGAATATGACTATTATGACTAGACCTTGCCAGCTAGTTAAGAATTAAACAGTAGCATCTTCACTCTAATTGTTGCAGTTTCTGTCATCGTTTGACATTTTTAATCAAACACTGCTTGTGCAATGTGCAGTGTTTCCATTACTGTACAAAGAATCATTTCAGATCCGTATGTAAACATCCCATGGACCATTTTCACAAGATTAATATCACTATTATTAGATTTTTTATTAGATATTGTTTTTAAAAACTTTTGTACATTTATATTTATGTATGTATTAAATCATATTTGCACCCAATTACTGTTGTATAATTTGTTTATTCTTTCATTCATTTTCTTTACGGCTTAGTCCCTTTATTAATCGGGGGTTGCCAGCAAATGTTTCACGCAGCGGATGCCCTTTATTACATGTGTCTCCGTACTTTGGTCTCAATAGTGTAAGAGTCAACACTCAGCATTAATTTCAACAGTTTCAAAAAAGATTTTTCTGAACGATTTTCCAGTCCGGTTTAAATGTGGTTAAATGGCAAGCTCCCACACGTCGACACCTGATTCACCTCACCTGTGCTTACTCATAATGAAACCTGTCGGAAAAACAGTGAAAAGAGGCAGAAAGAAGAGAACCACACCAAAAAGAAACACATACAAGATAAAAAAAAAAAACTCACCAACTTTTAGAATAAAACATTCTTTTATTTTATTGTTTTTAAAAAACAAATACATACATATGTACAATACATACAATATATTTAAATTATGCTTTACATTGTAAGATGCATTCTGATTGATCAGGTCTGACTGTCCATGTGTAAAATACAGAATCATGTCTCGAAAGTAATGAAAGTTGTAAGTTTGAGGCATATCAGGCATGGCTTTTGTCTTTTGTCTAACAAATTGTTTTTCAAGACACAGAAACAAGATTGGCAAGACCTGGAGACAATTTTTTTTAACTGAGTCTGTCATGGCATTTTTTGGCTGTATTATTAAGCACTGCTCTCTAAACTGTGTATTTAACTGAGTGCCAGGCTGCAGTAGTTCAGATTTTTTGATGAACAATGACAGCAAAGGCAAGTTCTCATAAAAGAATTCTGCTTTCAAAATACCCAAAAATTCTTCTGGTCTATCTCTTCTTGAATTCACAGCAGTTTATTAAAAAAAAAAAAAAAAAAACATTGACATTATTCTTTCTTCTTGCTGCTGTTTTCAGTCTCACACTTTTATTTTTTTATTTATGATTGTCTTGAAAACACTATCGTCGAGTTTTTCTTTTATTATTTGAGCAAATAATTCATTCATTCTCTGCACTTTAAGTTTACCCAACTATGACAACTTCTGCTGCTGAGAAACTCAGAAATGTGAAAAGGGTCCATAACGAAAAGGGTCCATACTAAACCTAACTTTCAAGAGTTCACACTTTGCTGATGATTTAAAATAAGCTAGTCTGGTTTGCTTTACCAGGAGAGAGCCTTAAAGGGTCACGAAACACCAAAACACATTTTTTGAGCTGTTGACAGTCGTATATGTGTCTCACACTGCTAAAAACACTATTAGGACACATAAATTTCACTAAAAAGTGTAAATTGGTTGTTTTTGCATTATTTCGAGCAAATTTGTACTTCCGGTTTGAAACGAATTTTGAAGCTGCGTCACGGATATGACATAATAGCGTGTATTCCAGCGTGCAGACTGGGTGTCTATACCAGAGTGTGCCTTATTACGTCTCAGAGAGTGCTGCATTAATGCATAAGTAAGGCTTGGTTCAAACCAATCAGCGCGCTCTATTGTGCAACTTCATTAATATTCATTACTGTCACAGTGTTTAGACGATAGAGACGCCACGTTGTGTTGGCAAAACAAGCGTTTAAGTGTTGCTTTTATAGTTTGCTGCAGTTAAGTTTTGTTTTCATTTTCTCTCTGTGAGAGCTCAGCTGGCGTCACGCTTGGATTACAGTGTATGCGATGCTCGACAACAATAACTTACGTGTCTAAGAAGGATTATTGTTTACCTGAGAGCCTCGTGTAGGATTTTCACCGCATTTTGTGACCAGAATAACACACGGGCTTTCTGACGCTACTTGCCATGTGCATCTAAGTTTCCGGAATATGCTAAGGGTTTTTTTTTTCTCACATTCGCCGTGTGGTATCAAACATTGCATGAAAAATACACGCTTAGAGCAGTTCCTCGAATCAAATATCTCGTTTGTCACGAGGGACATGAATGAAAGACCCAAACTGCAGTTGAAGTCCACCATTTAATAATTTGGCAAATAATTCGACTACAGATGTCCATGTAAACACCATCACTTTCTCCCCTGTGTGTGCGTGTGTGTGCGTGTGTGTGCGTGTGTGTGTGTGTGCGTGTGTGCGTGGACACGCCCACTTTTCTGACTTTTTCCAAAGTAGAGGTGTGAAAACACCCTCAACCGGGGTTTCATGGCCCTTTAAACTCAAGGGATCCTCAAGCCCAGGGTCTCCACCCATTCTCAGGGCGAGAGGAGAGATTGAACTCAGGTAGCTCTCAAAAACTCCCCTGCTGATGTAGCTAAAGGTGAACTGCTTTAAGGAGGAAAAATATTGATATTGGGAGGTAGACTATGGTGCCCATTTGGCTTAGTCGGTTTTACATATGACACATGTCTTTGGACGCTGGAAGGAACCCAGGGGAAACCCACAAGGGAAAAACATGCAAACTCCCAGTGGCGGGTTTAGGAACAAAATGGGCGATTGCTCTAGGTGGCATCTTGCTAGGGGGATCATGAAGAGAACCCCCCAATTCTTCACTATCGATGATCCTTGAAATACCTTGCTGTGGGGCAACAGTGTTACCCATTGCCATACCACCCAATCTAGGTAAAGGGGAGTGGAGAAGGGGAGCAAGGGGTTTTTCTTCTAGAAGAAGATGGTAGTGGAAGGAAAACAGTCATTATTTATAGTGGCTTAGGTATAGTCTGATTGGAGGATCATATATTAACTAATGTATTAGCTAATGCAGGACCGGCTGTGGTCAATCATAAGCACACGATCCTCTTGAAATTAGTTTATAAATCAATTTAACTTATAGAATACTTGGTTTTAAATTACATTATTGCACTGATATTTTCTGTTTCACTGTAGATTTTGGCTGCTCTGAGACATCTTCACTTCAAAAACATTGTGCACTGTGACCTCAAACCTGAGAATGTGCTGTTGGCATCAGCTGATCCTTTCCCACAGGTCAGTTTTAACTGATTAACACTCTGAAATGATGCATAGAAAACAAACTGAAGCATGCTTCATTTCTCTGTTACTTAATGCAAGATTGTACTTCTCTTTTTTTACCCATGGTTGGTTGCTGTGACTTAACACTGCTTCCCACTCTCGTTGAATATTTATAGGTGAAACTTTGTGACTTTGGTTTTGCTCGCATCATTGGAGAAAAGTCTTTCCGTCGTTCTGTCGTTGGCACGCCGGCTTACTTGGCCCCCGAAGTACTCCTGAACCAGGGTTACAATCGCTCTCTGGACATGTGGTCAGTCGGAGTGATAATGTATGTCAGTCTGAGCGGGACGTTCCCCTTTAATGAGGATGAGGACATCAACGATCAGATCCACAATGCAGCTTTCATGTACCCGCCGAACCCCTGGAAACAGATCTCTCCTGACGGTACAAACACTTGACACCAAATTAAAGACAAGTTTTTCATTTGAAGTAGATTAAAATACCCAATCAAATTGAGAACATGCTCAAATGAGAAGTTGAATAGAGAACACTAGTGTGGCAGTTCCTGTAAATTTACTTCATAACAAAAAGAAATTCGATGCGTTAAAAGCAGGCTGAATGTTGAGTCGCTACATCCGCCTTTGATTTTCTGTCCGCTGCTGTAAATCATTTAGCTTCAATCGATGCAGATTCTGTTTGTGTGATCTCTCCGTTTCTCCATAGCTACCGACCTCATCAATAACCTGCTCCAAGTGAAGATGAGAAAGCGCTATAGTGTGGATAAGAGTCTCAGTCATGCCTATCTGCAGGTAATGCCAATATCACATCCACATGCATGCTATTAATGGCTCTTTTCTGTAAACAGAGTGCCACATATGACTTTCTCAGGATATTTTTCTCTGTCTAAAAGAATGATAAAAAGGTGCATTTTATTTCAGAAGGCTGAATTACTCTCAATGGCTATTTTATTAGGTACACTTTGCTTACTGGGCCTATTGCCTTCAAAACTTCCTTAATTCTTCATGGCATAGAATGATCTGAGCTATACACTAACAAAAGTCTTGTCCTCTAATCAAGTTTTGGTAAAAACAAATAATAACTTGACTTCTAGTTGATCTGATTTGGTATGAGAAGTGGCTTATATGAAAGGCAAAGGCCAATAAATTACAATTATTTTACCAAAATAAAATATGATCATGACTTGATTTTTAATTATTTAATTAGGACAATAAGCTCTGACTTTGCTTAGACAAAAGTCTTGTCACTTAACAGAAAAAACGTACAGTATAGAATGTAAAGTCATGGTGCAGTGGAAAAATATTGTGTATGATTCCCATGAGCTTGGATGACTGCATCCATACATCTCTGCAATAACTCAAAGAACTTACAATTGATAAACTAGAAGTCAAGTTATTATTGTAAAGATGTAAGGTTCTTATATTGTTCTTCAGAGATTTTGCTCCATATTGACATTATGGCATCAACAAGTGGCTGCAAATTTTCTGGTTGTACCCCCAGAATAAAAATATAAATGTTTCCACATTTAAAATGCTCTACTAGATTATAATATCTTGACTGTGGAAGACATGTGAGTTTAGTGAACTCACTGTCTTGTTCAAGAATACAGTTTAAGATGATTTTATCTTTGTGTGATGGGTTGTTTACCTACTGGAAGTAGTCATAGTCATAATGGGATCAGCAGGGCTATCAACAATACTCAGGTAGACGGTGGTGTTAAAACAATATTTAATCGGTTTTAAAAGGCTCAGAGAGTGCCAGGACAACACTACACCTTTACACCACCAGCAGCTTGAATTGTTGATACAAGGCATTGAGGACCAATACTTTAATGTTAGTTATTAGTTAGTAAGTGTTGTTCAGATTACATGATTTTATTGTTTGTAATGACAGTTGTTGTATTGGATGGGATTTGGTATAGACAAAATCTTTTTGTTACGGGTAACAAATATGTCAGACTACACGTTGCATTGAAATCATTCATCGCATAACGTCTACTACATGAATTTTGTTATCAAGAAGTCACACAAATTTTAAGTATCTCTGTAATTGTCTAATTTTGTAGTTTACATGGTAATTCCAGTTATCACTCACTAGGCAGCAAAAGTGCCTTAGCTATCATTTACCAACATTTATCTTTTTATTCAGTCATGGTAGTTTCCTGATGACATGTAATACTAGTCTTGTTGCCATGATTCCACGAAGCTATCTTCAATTTCACAGACACAGCTCTCTCTCTTTCAATTTTCCATTTTAAAAGCTGTGTGTGGAAGAGATTATGTTGAAACATGTCAAGGATGACGGGGAGAAAAAACATGCTACACTTTCTGCGATAACGTCATAAAAACTGTAGACATGGCATCGCTTGTCATGAACTGACACACTGACGCAGAAATGATTGAATCTGGCATCCCGACACCCATTTGTCATGTTGCGAATTCACATGACACCCTACATAAAGTAAATTGTGCACAAATCAGTAGGAAAAAAATGTAATCTTAACTGGTTTTAATTCAGACCCCACTACTACATAGAAAAGTAGCATAAAAAGTTTCATTTCATTCATGAAAACAGACTTTCCCAGTCTTGTTGTTCAATATTACTGGGCCTGTGGTGTATCCGGTGTATCATCAGTGTGCCTTTCTTCTTCAACTGATGATAGGTTATTTAAGTTATTGCCTTCTTTCTGTCAACTGAACCAGTCTGGTCATTCTCTTATGACCTCTGGTATCAACAAGAAATTTTCACCCACAAAGAACTGCCACTTGCTGGACATTTTCTCTTTTTCTCACCATTTTCTGTAAGCCCATGAGATGACTGTGTGTGAAAATACTCAGCAGTTATCGAAAAAACTCAAACCAGCATGTCTGGCATGAACTATCCCATTTTCAAGGTAACTAACATCCTTTTTTTTCTCTATTCTGATGCTGGGTTTGACCTACACACGATCATCTTGACCATGTCAGACTTATCTGATTAGATATTTGCTAACAAACAGCTGAATAGGTGTACCTAATAAAATTGCTAGTGAACATAAAAAAAAGATTGTGGCTGTAGTGTTCCGATCTGAGGATATTCATGTCTGAAATTATGAATTTCATTTTCTAAGACCATATCTTGCGTGTTTCTAGGGAAAGCTAATAAAAATATATTGCCCTGCTGTAATCTCCTCTGCGTGCTTATTGTTTGACATGCTGAACTGCACATTGTGAGCAGGGTGTGAGACGTAATTCTTATCATTCATTTGTTTTGATTCATGACATTACATGCCTTCCCATCAACATCATGTTGAACCCAATATGCATTTATACACACATTCTAGAAGTAAAAAGTAAAATCTTTGGACAACATACGCCAGTAAATATAGGTAGATACTATTACATCGTAATACATAATTTTAAACACTGTCACAGTTTTTATTAAGAATTGAAAGTGAAGGATGGCAAAATGGATAATCTAGATAAAGATTAGGCTTATATATTCATAGGAAATTGGTTCGTAATTACATTAGAAGCTCCTCGTATTAAATATGGAAAATGACAAATGTGGAAAAACAACTCCTGAAATGAAAAAAAAAAAATCAGGTATGGATTTGCAGGACAATAGAGTTTTATGTTTCAAGACCAAATTACATTACAACCATATAAGCTCCTGAAGTGAATCGCTTTTAGACACCGCAAACAGAATGAATCATCATTAGCCGTGGCGTCCTTTTGTCTTTATCCTCTTATTCTCTCTCTCTCTCTTTCCATCTGCTGTTTCAGGATTACCAGACCTGGCTGGACCTGCGAGAGCTGGAGTCAAAGCTAGGGGAACGTTATATAACTCACGAGAGTGATGACAGCCGCTGGCAGCAGTATGCCCGGGACCACACGCTGCCGTACCCCCCTCACCTGGTTCCCCCGCCACCTGCATCCGACGACGAGGATGGCAATGAGGATGCCGACATGCAGGGCCTGACAGAGCGGGTTAGCATCCTATGAGGAAGAAAGAAATCAGAGGAATGAAGAGTTACCTGCCAGAACTTAAGCAATTTCTAAGTGTAGGAAGTGTATTCATGAGGCCCTCTGTGAAAACAAAACAAAACAAAACAAGACATAGTTTGGGTTGTGTCTTTGGTGGCTGACTGCAGGCCCTCTGAACTCTGACTTTCTTCAACTAGAGGACTGTGTTTCTGAGACGCACATATTAAAGTGGAACTCCTTTGGATCCCAACAAAGACCTTCACATTGGTGATGGCTGATTGTAAGTGAATAACAAAATGAAATTGTACAAAATGCACAAGTTTTAAAGAAAGCCCTAATTTAATTAGGTTGGATTTGGGTTCACCAATTTTAACAATTTCTTAAGGTGCTTTCACATTTACCAGTGTTTATCATTTATTTTTTTATTTTATTTTTTTTTGGAGAGGATGATATCCAGTCATTTCAGAAGGAATCTATGCTAGGGGAAAGATTTATCTTGCAATTTAAGGGGCCTTCTACACAAGAATGTCAAAACAGCCAAAAAACGGGAAAATTTTTTATATGGTTTGCCTGTTTGTTTACAGGACAAGGTGATTTTTCAGCAATGAAAATGTGTAAAATGGAAAAAGTGGAGGTTTTTGAAAAGACAGTCATGTCATGTCCGTGTAAACACCTGAAAACAAAAAGTCATTGAAACCTTCATTACATGCCGACGTAGTACTATAGTTGTTTAGGTAAGCCCGTAGCCAGGGGGTTCGGGTTGTTCGAAAGACCCAGCCCTCACTGACAAAGGTCCAGAATTTGCCCCATACATGACTTCATTTGTCCTATTTTGACTGCTGTGCAATCATACATTGTAAACATACAATCTAATATAAGTGAAGTCATCTTTCACTACTGTATTGTTTTTACCAGGAACTTTTATTTTAAATCTTGAACCTTATTCTTGAAACAAAAAAAGACCAATGCTATGGTGTCAAGCACCAAAAGCGACCATTTGGCTATTGTTGTGAACCATGAATTTTCAAATGTACTTTTTTGGTAATGATGACCATCTGACAATCTATTTCAGATAAAATATTACTTAAAATGTCACTAAAATGCAGTATTTAAATCTTATAATTAAATAGTAGTCTAAATGAGGACTATAACCACAAAAAGGTCCACATTTTGGGAAAAAAACACTGCTTTCAGCAGGCTGGCTACGGGTATGTTAGGTGAGTGTAGATTAAGGCCCAATCCTGATTCTATTTTTGTACCCCTACCCCTTCCCCTTGGCCCTTACAACCGAGGGTGAAGGGAAAGGGCTTTAAAATGTACCCCTAAGAATTGGGACAGCATTACAGCACCTGCACACGTCATCATATGTCATCGCGATCTTTTGTTTCATATGAGATTAGTGTTTTTTATTGGTATTTATCTTCAGGAAATCACTGAAGGCATATATTATGTTATCATAAAGATCTAATGTGGCAAAAAAAAATATCATAACTGTACTGTGCATTTGCACAGAGGCCATATTCATGTAAAGATACCAAAAACAACATTATTATTAAAGCAGACACAGTAAAAAGCCCATTCCCAGCAACTAGATATTACTGACAGGGTATTCGAGTGTCATCGAGTGACAAAATGTTGTGGAACTGCAGTACAAGAGTTATTATTATGGATTATAGATCGGAAAAAATTACGAATTTTTAATTTTTTTAAGCATGACGGTAAAGCATGAACGCGGTTATGAATATATTAAAACATGTGCTTGTTTTTTGTAAAAAATCATAATACTGACAGAAATACTAATTTGTGGATCTCCTTACTTTCGGTTGCAGTGATTTTGCCGTTGTGGCTGGTGGATTCAGAGAAATTTTCTTATACCTTGGTTTTGAGTGTGGTCCTATAAAAAAATTCGAAGAGATATTCACCCCTTGTCCTTAGCTTTACGCCTTCAAGCTAAAAAGAAATCGGGACACCCCTATCCCTTGATGTGAACGTGCAAAAAAGGGGTAGGTGTAAAGGGAAGGGCTAAGGGGTAGAATTGTGATTGGGCTAAAAAGCAAGCGCAAAAATTGAGAGACAACCATGTGGCAGACTATGTGGTAGTGTTGTTACTAAAATGTTTTCTAATGCTTGATCAGCAAAGTGTGTATTTACGTTACAGTATGACGTAAATACACACTTATAAGTTGAGACACACACTGCAAATTATACATAGAGATGAGCACCAAGCTGCTATCAACACGTCGTCTTCTCTACAGGTACTGCAGGTACAGCACCAAATACTAGCCTGGCATATGTAAGTGTTTTTGGCCATTTTTGTGAATTTGTGTAAAAGCAGATCATTTTGAAAATGACTTGCAGGTGGAAAACTTTTCCATTATTGGCTAGGTCACTGTCATGTAAATGCAGCCTTAGCTTGTTATATAACCCTTATTTTACCAGGTAATTTAATTAAGAACCAGTTCTCATTTACAATCACAAACTGGCCAAGGGGCAACATAAAAAGCAAATGCGGAGCAATAAAGACACAATACAATAATTTCACAGATGCAGATAATAACTTATAAAACCAAGGAAAAACTAAAAATAAGCACAGTGATCTTGTTACTGGATAAAATTTTTATTAGAATCACTGTTCACCAACAAAACGGTACTCAGTTTGAAAGTGACTACAGTGTGACCTGTGCTGTACTATTGACAATGACAATGTTTTACCCATAAATATTTTATGTGACCTTAACATTGCGGAAAAAAATACCACATTTTTAAAAGCTGGGATATTTTTAACTTGGCATAGCATTTTAAAAGTGACAATGTAGAGGTTGTTTTTATGGTCTAAAGTTATACATCTACTATAATATTGTTAGTACTGTTTTAATCTTTTGAGCAGATATGGCAGATATTCTCTGTGAGATGCATTAGAATACAGTTAAAATGCTATTTAATTGATGTTTTCAAGGCAAAGCATATCTCTGCATTCCTGCATTCCTGTTTGATATTTGTATGAATAAGATATGATATTCAGTAATGCCACACAAGCGTTGTTTTCCTGAGTATTAGTGACTGAGAGATGTATACATTAATATTTGGGTGACAAGTGTACATTCTAAACACAGTGTTGTGTTAATTCTGTTTCGCTGATGAATGTAGTTTCTTTGCATAACTTTAGTATAGCTTAGAGCAAATCAAGTGCGCCAATGATTCAATAATCCATTCATAAAGGCAGTCACATATTTAAAAACAAATAAAAATTAATCAGCCATTTTGAACGAATCGATTGATTTCAACTCGGCCTCTTTCTAATTATGTAATGCTATATACATTTCTGGAGAGAGCAAAATAGCTCTCAGGAGCTGCAATTTATTATTATTTTATTTATTATTATTATTTTATTTTATTTATTATTGCAGATTTAGTTTTTTTTTTTTGCAAATCCACCAGAGGCAGATGTGTGCGCTCTTTGTGATCTCAAGTTTCTCTTGCGAGTGCCATTTGTCCCTGCTGTTCTTGCAAAAATCCACCAAAGGCCACTTTCAACTTATTGACTAACCAACTGACAGATGACCCTACCCTCCCTGTTCTGTAAACCCAATCAATAGTGTTTTAAAAAGCACCAATTGACCTGCCCACCCACTTTCCTAAACCCAACCAAAGATCCAGAAAAAGAAAAGCCCCCTGATTTTTACCACATTTTCAGATTTTACCACATTCTCACCTTATTATTTACTTGTTTATTTTATTTTTAGCTTTTGTTTTTGTCTTATCTGCTTTCTGGAACCATTCTTTACCATACTCGAACTCCAGTGTTGAGTCAACTCTGCTCTGCATCTCAAGTCTGCCGACGTACATATCGAACTATGGGAAAAACCAATGCAATCTCACGCCAATTCGTAATTTTTTGATTTAGTGGCTAATTCGTATGAATTAGCACAATCTAATTCCTATAATTTACTACGTATTTGCTCATCACCCAATGACGGTTGGGGTTAGAGGTAGGGTTGGGTGCCACGCCTCCTTTTTAAAATCGTACATTTTCATAGGACTTATTTTGTTTAGCCACAAAACGAACAAAACGTAAAATACTTGCGTTTCCTCGTGAGATCTGGCTGAACAAACTGGTAACAGCGGAAAACTCATTCATATGGAGGTAATCAATGAGCTGGTAAGCACACAAAGGAACAGCATTTTACCTGTAGCGTTTGTTTTAAAGATAAAACGGAGCCATACGTAGCTTTGGTTACATAATTTGCTCTCTCCAGAAATGTACATAGGGCTATGTTTTCAGAATGAGCCTTTGTTGATTAAATTAGTGATTTAACAATACTCGTGATTTAGTGTCACATATTTTTAAATCCAAAATGACCTAAACCAGCTGAGATACCATTATAAAAGCACACTCAACAACAACAAAAAAATATTAAAAGCCTCCAAAAAATATCAAGGTCAATTTTTCCCATGCTTTTAGTGCAAACTGCTAATGAGATATTGCAACATTTACTGAATATCTTCTGCATTTTTTTGTTTCGAAACCAGTAGTTTCGACAGTAATCTGTGAGATCTGTTTGATGTGAGGTTGAAAAACTTCCCCTATTAGATTCGGCTACAGTTGCTTCTGCAGTTCATGTGAATTCAGCCTATTGACTAGCAGAGAAATCTGTTTGTGTGAAAGTGAATGTTAAGTGAGCTTTGATTTATCCATTGCCTTGCTTTGGACATTTTTTTGCCCACAAATTCATTATTAATTGACAATTATGACTCATCCCAAATTTGTTATATGCAAAAGACTGATATCAAGCTGGGAGTCTCCATCACCTTTAGTTTCAGATCAACTTTTTATATATTACTGAGAATACTTTTTAACAGCTTTTAACAATACAACTGGAAAGAAACTCTCACATATTGGTGTTTTCCTGTATCTTGTCATTTGTTTTCCCTGAAGGTGCAACTGACTTCGCTTCTGAGAAAGGATGATTTTCTTGTTTAGAGGACTGATAAATGGTCTCCTAGTCCTTTTCGTCCCATACTGTCTAAAAGGACAAAATGAGTGCACAAAGACTACCTAGACTGTTCTCTGATCAGCTGTTGTTAGTTCAACTGATCTCTGCTAGTACTAGTCGCACTGGATGTGTAATTTTACTCCTGACCCTAGACCTGAGCATTAGGCTGCATGTCACTGAGAATTAGGTTTGCTTGAAACTTATTGCTATGAAGGACTATTTTGTACACATGTAACCTTAGAAATTATGTAGTTTTGGATGGGACTCTCAGAGCATTTCCATCAGTATAATAAACATGGTGATGAATAACTGTTTACTAATTCTGATTCTTTCAAGTTTCTGACTAGTTTACAAAAATACAGGATCTAGCAAAGATAAGGAATGATTGGTAAAAATACAAATGCATGGTGATTTTCTTCCATGGTTTATTCGGTTCAATTCACCTTGATTTATAGGGCTTTTACATTGTAGACTGTGTCAAAGCAGCTTAACATATATTTTTTAGTAAATTGTAGTTAAAACATGTCAGTCCAGTTTTCAGAGTTGAAATTTAGGTTTAAAGTAGGTTTAACTTTTACTGCTGAAAGTCCAAACACTGAAGAGCAAATCCATTGATGCGTAGCTCCACAAGTCCCAAACCAAGCACGCCAGTGGTGACAGTGGTGAGGAACAAACTTAACCAATTGATGAAAGTGAAGGAAAAAACCTGAGAGAAACCAGGCTCAATTGGGCAAGACCATTTCTACTTTGGCCAAACTTGTGCTCAGCTGCAATCTAGGCACCGGGGGCTGAAGAACACTGGATGTCCATCGTGGTGAAGCTGCAGGTGTGGGTAGATCACCGGCGGGTGTTCAGGCTGGCCCACGGGATCAGTGAGGAGACTTGTCTGTCACTGGGGTCTTTCAGGAATCAGTCTCATGCTCTCCACTCTTCCATGACCACCACAGCATCTGCTCAGGATACGGCCTGGTCCTGGGTTATGGAGACCCCTAGAAGTCCTCTACGGTTGGCATTATCTCTTCCCAGGACTTGGATCACTGCACAATATCTAGAGCAGAGATGCTCAAACTAAGGCCCGCGGGCCAAAGTTGTCCCATGATAATCTTTGATTTGACCACCATCCAGGGCCGGAGTGGGACTCCTTTTCAGCCCTGGAGTTTCAAGCCTCAGACTGGCCCACCTCAGTTCACGACTGACTATATTAAAATAAGGTCATTTCCAATTCAGTTTCTAATGACACTCTCACGTCTTTTTTTGAGAAAACAACTGCTTTGGAAATTCAAATGTTCAACAACCCTAACAGTATTATATGTCTTAACAATAAAAATGAAAAAAAAAAAAAAAAGACGAGGATCGAAGTCTGCGGGTTCAAAAACTAACGCGCTATCCACTGAACCGCAACAGCTGTTCAGTGAAATATGACCAAGTTATATCAGCATTAACCTGCAGGCTGCAACTTGCTCACTGAGCTGCGAGAAAATAGATAAAAAGAGTAGAGCTGCAGTAAAATAATAAATAAAAAGGCTGTGGTCAAGTAAATAGATAAATAAATTTAAAAAGTGTGACTGCTGAGAGCAACCGATTCTGGAGCTAGGGATACCGGCCCTCGCGGCCAAAAAATGTACCGGCCCACCGGGAATTCTCCCGGTCCTCCCGATTAGCCAATCCGGGCCTGCCACCATCCCATCTAAGAAGAGAGGAAGAAAATTGGGGATGGTTTTAGGATTGTCTATTCAAATTTAATGTAATCCTTTGATTGCTTGTTATGGTGGCTTGAGAAAGCCAACATACTGTTATAGTACATAAACTTATTTTTCTTCTGTCTTCTTCTTCTTCTTAGACTATTTTAAGAATACATGTTTTGCTCGAACGTTCTTACTACAACCACCAAGCTAACTCCAAACCTCCAAACTATAGTGAATTAAGTTGCTACTGTTTATATGTTTCAACTGATCCGACTTATGGGTTTCCGAAAACTGACCCAGAAAATTCAGAAGAGTCCCATTGACTTAACATTGGACCAAACTTAACATAATCAACATAATTTTGTACCAGACTGTCATACAGACTTAAGATTGGGCTCATTTAACTCAGACTACCAGTCTGCCAATCACTGATGAACTTTCAACTTACTAGCCACACCCTAGTAACCACTTACAGCACCCTAGCAACTGCCCCATAGACTTCCATTTAAAAAAAATGCCACTGACTTTACATTGGACATACTAACAACATACTAATTCATATTAACAATATACAAATCCATACTAACATACTAATTGTACTAGAAACATACAAACAAACATACTATTCATACTCTCAATATACTAATTTATATTATAAACATACCAGAAACATCCTAATTCATACTAACATGGTAGTTTATACTAAAAACATGCTAGCAACTTGCTAATTCATACTAAATTCACGATAACATGCTAGTTTATACAAGAAATATGCTAGCAAATTTATGTTAGAAACATGCCAGCAACATGCCAATCCATACTAGAAACATGCAACTTATTTTTACTGTTTAAAACTTCTTAAACTATTGCAATTATTTAAACTTTAAAACTACGTCAAACTTTCAGACTAGGCTTTCTAAAGCCACCATAAAGTTTGTCTGTGAACTTTACTTTTCGAGTTTGTTTTATTGTTAAACACCAACTGAAAATAAATGTTTTAATTAACTGGTGTAAATTAATCTGATTTTGTTTAAATGTACATACTGTCACCCAACAATGCAGAGACCTTGGTGAGCAAATCAAGTTAAAGGCGAATTCTGTTTCACTATTCAGCACTGAACTCCACTGTGTTATAAATGTGATTGTTAATGTTTTGTATTGTAATAATAAGTTATAGTTAAAAACTCTGCATTAGTTCATACCATGATAAGTAATGTTTTCTATTTATTTTGAAATATTATTTAATAAATTAGGAAATTACCCATGGCAACTTTGCTGTAATATAGTTTAATATGTTTACTTTTGGCCCACAGCTCTCAATAGTATTTGGTTTTAAACCATTCATATGAAAAAGTTTGGGCACCCCTGCTCTAGAGATAATCTCATTTAATATGACTTGCTTTGATGACATGTTTTATAATAAGAAATAAAGAGATAGAGTGTATATTCACAAAGATGTTCAGATACGTGACAGCAGTCAGGATTGTGCTGTTGGGATGATTATTGCCGGAAGCACATGGCCGCAATCAGCTTTTGTCACTCAACAGTGCATTCAGAACTAGAATTTGCATGTCTTCATTTTGTCATAAATGTGATGCCCCAGCAATCTTGATACTATTCTAATCATCAATGGTCCAATCTTGATGATCTTGGGCTCATTGTTGGTAATAGTGTACAGTTACCATGATGAGCCAGATGGGTCATTAGTCGCATTTCCACTGTCGGGCCAGTGCGAGCTAGGGCTTTTATCGGGCTGGGTCAATCGCTCAGGAGGTTGAGCAGTGAGGCTGAAATCATGTTGCGTTTCCACTGTCGGGCTAGTAGCTCGCAGCGTGTCACACAACCCGCCCACTTCAGCGGGAATCATTCAGATAAAGCACACCTTCACATCATCATGGAACGATTAAAATTAAGACAACCAAAACAAACAAAGTATGTGTTACTGTACAACAATTCATGCTGTGTGTTTCCATTTATGTTTACTCACCGGCATCGTGCATGGAGTGGTCCCACCACTAATGGAGGAACCCAGCGCAGTGAGCATACCCATCTATAATATAAAACCACAGAATATCTCCGGTAGTAGCTCAGTATGAAATGTAGTTTATAACGTTCTTGTTTTGATAGAAGTCGTCAAACATTCAGCCCAAATGCTCCGAAGAGACCGAAAACATTTGAATTTTACCCTAGGTTATGTGACACATGTAATTCCCCTTTATTTAAAGATGTTGCATATTATTCAGTGATCTTAAGTAAAGGAAAGTGTTAAGTGTTTCAGCACATAAGAGCAAGTAAAAAATATGGCCTATATTTCGTTGCGCTCTAAAATAATAAGGCTCTACATTTATGATTTCATTTTTAAATTTTACAAAGTCATATAAAAACATAAGCACTTGTTTGAGGACATAAAAGGCATTTTTACTTGCAGTTTTTCCAATGCTTTTGTAAAATGGCGTTGTGTAGGACTGATGACAGAAAAAAGGTAATTTCTGCTTTCACTCACCCCAAAAATGCTCTATTTGCATGATTTAATTATTATCATCGTATCCAAATACTTAATAAAGGCTATTTTACACCTCCTCTGGTGTTTATTGTTTTTTTTTAGAAAATATCTAAAATCTTTTTTTTCAGATAGGCCTATGTAAAATGAAAGATATATATGGCTTAAAAGCGGTTTAATTTATAATTGTACTATATACCTACGTTGTTATAGCTAGCTTTTGTTTGTTTTATAGTGGTTTATTTATTTAATGTGATTTTATTATACTTATTATTTTATTATATTTTTAATTCTTTAATTTATTATAAACATATCTTAGGCTATTCTATCGAGATATGACAAAAGTGGACACGTAATTTGTAAAGGTTTATGACTTTCTATTGTATTTATTCATATTGTGTATTATCTTTAAAATAAATAAATAATTAAAGAAGCCGCTCGAGCATCAGAGTTGTCAAGCAAGTGCTCTTTCACCCGGCCTCTTACACACTCACAGGCATTTAACATGCATGTATCAAGCACAAACAGACCTTTAAAACTCTCGACAACCTTTACTGGCTGTTGTGTCTTTTATATGGTGTAAAGATTATTATGCATAATTGAAACATCAAGAAAAATCTAGAAAACAGCCTTACATTTACAAGGGAAACATAAGGGCGATCAAAAGCAAAAAGACCCCTAGTCTTTAAGGTGTTTCATGGTATAGCCTATCTTAAATAGTGTAATGTAATCACGCCATCGGGCAAAGTTTGCCTCTTCTTTCATGCAGCGCCGAAGCCCCAGCTGGCCCTCTTTGGCCCAAGGTATTTGGCAAGCCAAAAAAGGACGGCCGCTTGCCCTGAGAAAGCCACCCCTTGGCCCGATCAGGCCCTGGAAGAAACAGTGGAAACATGACTGGCCTTGGCTCAACCTGGCTCGCTCACTTTAGGGTCAATAGTATGAACACGGCTAATGACTACACAAGCTTTTACACTGAAACTACCAGAATTCACTTAAAATAACTTTTACTTTTTTGTTGAAAATGACTTCCTTAAAATGAGCTTTTTCATGATCTATCATGATTGAGCTGTGGACAACACACGGCTTGACAACGATTTGATGTTTGACCATCCCATGCACCAGTGGTGTAAATTAACTAATTACAAATACTCAAATTACTGTAATTGAGTAGTTTTTCACAGGAATTGTAATTTATTAAGTAGGTTTTTTAAATGTGTACTTCTACTTTTCTTTGAGTACATTTTTAGTGCAGTAATTAGTACTTTTACTTTACTACTTTTCTTCAACCTTCAGTCACTACTTTATTTTTTCTTGTCTATGGGGATTAGAAAAATCAGTCCTTTGATTCCTGTCTAATATAATCTCACATAGAAGGTAAATCGCCCAATCGCATAATGAACTACCTTAAAATAGGGTTGGTCAAAAGAAACATAATAATGCAGTTCAAATATATGATATATGAATTGATGTTTACTTTAAACGTATTAAAAATATATAATTATATTGTTAAATATATATATATATATATATATATATATATATATAATTATTTTTATTTTTTTGTCAAATAATTTTGTGGCTAAAAAGTATCAGTTCAGCCACCTTCATGGCACCAGTACCATTTTAAAAATATCAATTTAGCACCGGTATTGAAATAATCCCAAACAATACCCTACTCTACCTCAAAACATGTGCGCTTTATAATTGCAGCAAACTGTTTGGAAGCATTAAAAGTGTACAAGATGTCCAAAATCTTTACATGCATTGACCCAGAGACTGTTAAGATGCATGTCACTGATGAGTAGATGACGGATGTTTACTGTATGATGATCGAAATGGACTTAAACATCCAGCAGGCACAAGATGTCAACATGATGTCAGAATGAAGTTGTACCCCAGTGTCATGGGGATGTTGCATTTTGTTTTTCCATGAAAATCAAGGAAGTGTCAGCATATGATGCCAAAATGACGTTGGATGTTTGCTCATTGCAACATTGGATTTTGGTCACTTTCCAACACAACTTAAAGTCAACCAAATATCAACATCATTTGATGTTGTTATTGAACAAATACCGTCCTTAGACGCTGGTTAGACAATCTAACCTAATGTTTATGTCTTATGATGTTGTGTGCCTGCTGGGCAATAACTCGATGCAATACAGAATGTTACGTTTACACACACATGCACAAATTACAAGTAAACGCATCAGCTTTTAAAAGCATAATACTCACTACACCTCCTTTTTACTGTCTTTGGACTGTGGGGGAAACCGGAGCACCAAAAGGAAGCCCACATGAACACAGGGAGAACATGCAAACTCCACACAGAAATGCCAACTGACCCAACCGGTGCTCAAACCAGCAACCTTCTTTCAGTGAAGCAATCATGCCATCCACTGCACCACTTTGACACCCTAAACCCATTTTTCAAAAATAAAAAGTTTCAAGCCATTGACATTTAATTTTACAGATGGTTTCAGAGCTGCAAAATCTTTAAGCTGATTCCCAATTATATTTTTGTACGCCACACAAAAACAACATTAACATTATAGCAGACATTATCAAATGGTAATTACCAGCCATTATGCTTTTCTGACAGGGTATTTGAGTGTCATTGAGTGTCAGATGTGAAAGTATGTTAAGGGACTACTATACAGGAGTAATTATTAGGAGATAGAGAAATTAGCGTTTTTTATTTTAGCGTTTTTTAAAGCATTATTGTAACACATGAACGCCATTATAAATATATCAAAACATGTGCTTGTTTGTTGTAACAATTCATAATAATGACAAAAAACACTAACAACAAAAACACATCTCCTTATCTCCGTGTGCAGCCATGTTGCAGTTGTAGGTGGTGTATTCTGAGAATTTTTTTGTACCCTTTGGTTTCGAGTGTGGTCCTGAAAGATTTTTGTTTGAAGGACTATCTAGCCCTTCCCCTTAGCTCTACACCTTTAGGCTAAAAAGAATTGGGACACCCCTACCCCTTCACGTGAACATTCAAAATGATTAGTTGGGTTAAGGGGAAGAGCTAAGGGGTAGGACTGGGATTGGGCCTTGGTTTCTTCATAGTGAAATCATCAAGAAATTAAAGAAGTTTTATATTTGCCCTGACAGTTAGGGAAAAAACACAGATATGACGTATTTCTCCAAAAAACTGCTCTGTACTCTAGTAACCAGTCAGCCAGTGAAATAAACAAAACTGAAAACCACATGTAAAAAGCAATTACTTACTTTGCTTCAGAAAAGGGACATGTTGCCTTTTAAAACAATGGATTTACTTCCCCTTTTTTATGCAAACTCAATTAATGGCATTAAAAACAAGTCAACAAATCACTTTTTACTCTGAAGAAGTTGAAACATTAAGTGCATGAGAAATTATTGTAAAACAAATCCTGGAATACAAAACTATGTATTCCATTAACATACTTTTATAACAGCTCAGTTTATATTCAAGTCTCATTTCTCAGTTTTAGCCATTAATATCTGAAACTAACTGAAAGGTCACATCACCTTTCAGAAAATGTTCGAATTGTGCAATTTTATCAAATACAGGTGATCTCCATCATTATTTCCTAACCTTTAAATAATGAGATAATAAGTAAGAATACTATGTTTATATATTAAATTAATCTCATTTCCCAGAAGTATCAGATTTTCCATAAATACCTCAGATAGAGAAACAGTGGGTGGTTTGGTTTTTTGATAACATTTTGATGTTCACTTTTTTCCATCATCTGCATTCAAAGTGGGGCAAAATAACTGTGATGTGTTTTCATAAAGCAAACTCTGATATAATTCCATTACAGGCATCACAGTGAGCGCAGCAAGCGTGTTTTAAAGAGAGACAGTGTTTTCTGTTTATTTAAACAGGAAGTTGTGGCATTTGAAATGTGAGACAGTAACATCAGTGGAAGTTGTCAGCTTCTGCTCGTCTGGGAAGATTTTACTCATTGCGGTGTGTTCTATCTCCATCACATGCAGCTAAGAAAAAAAAAAGAGTTCTAGTCTAGACTCTTTCTGAAGACAAACATGTGCGAGAGAGGTTTTATCTCTCCACCCCTTTCTTCCTCTCTCTCTCTCAATTCATCTCGTCTCCATCCTCTCAGTGCGAAGTGCAGCGGCCGAACCTGCTCTCACAGGGTCACATTTGATCATCTCTGGGCATGAAGCATTATTGAAGTGCATGACACCCTCTTCAAGTCTGGAAATCTCAGCTGTGCCACTTTTCCCAGAGGACAAGTAACTGGAACTGGGCTTGAGCAGCTTCTGGGAAACTGAAGTGGTTGGGGTTTTGTGGACTCTAGCCTGTGCTTGTTGGAGAAGATTCCGTTATTCACTCTGTTCTTTTGCAGGTGAGAGTTATTTTTGCTTTTTCGAAGCTGTTTATTATAATTTATGAAGAATGGGTGTGTGCGACCGATCTGAGAATGGACATGGTTGTTTGTTTCCTGTGCTATAGATAGTAACTCAGCTGTTGAGTCTTAAAGCTTAAATGTTTATAGCAGTAAAATGCATTTTGGGCATTCAGTAATACAATTACCACGTACACACAGTTATATATTTTTTTACTCAAAAGTTGTTTTTGCTCTATTTTAAGTGTTCAGAGTAAAATGTGTCAGTAGAGTGGGCGCAAAATTACTAGTAACTGTGACAATCCTGCCGGGGTCCTTATGCACCATTAAGTAGCAATCTCAAAATTAATGGACATTTCAAGAATTAAAGTTATAATATACCACAATATAATGTGAAGAGACTACAGTCATAATGTCAGCTGCACTGTAAAAAATGCCGGGTCCCACACAATTCCATCACGTTATCCCAACACAAATTGATTCCCTTAATAATTGTTTACAAATTTAAATGGGATGAACATGAAGCAATAGTTTTCCCCCCCAAAAAAATATGAACTCATTTTAAATAAGAAGTTCAAACAATCAGTAAAAGTCCCTGAATACATTACTGGAGAATGCAGATTTGTTGCCAGAGCTACATTTGGCAGCATTTCGTCTGTAAAATTAATGATATGGGGTGGAATGATGCTGTTCCTTTTCTTGCTTACAAGATGACCGCTTGCCTCCATATGGACAGCTTTTCCACAGTTATCAGTTTGGCCTGTAGCTCCACACATATGTCAAAAGACTTGAGATGCAGAGAGGAGTTGACTGCAACAACAGGGTTCGAGTCCAGAGAAGAACTGATCCAGAAAGCGAGTAAGACAAAAAACAGAAACCAAAAAAAAAATAAAAAAAAAAATGAAATAACAGGGTAAAAATGTGGTAAAAATCAGAATGTCGTAAGGGCTTTTTTTTCTGGATTGCTTTAAAAACACTGCAGCTGGGTTTAGGGAAGGGGATGGGCGGGTCAATCGGTGCTTTAAAAAACACTATTGGTTGGTTTTAGGGAAGGAGGATGGTGGATTTAATTGAGAATTGCAGACATGAATGGCACTCGAGAAAGAAATTTGAGATCTGAAAAAGCGTACACAGCGGCCTCTGGCAGATTTGCGGAAACAAAAATCGTAGCTCCTGGGGTGTATGTTGCTCTCTTCAGAAATCTAGATTGTATATGTACTGTAGGTAATGTATATGTCCATAATCAGAATGAGCCTGGGTTGAATGAAGACCTAGATCAGTGGTCACCAAACTTGTTCCTGGATGGCCGGTGTCCTGCACATTTTAGCTCCAACCCTAATCAAATACACCTGAACAAGCTAATCAAGGTCTTGCTAGGTATACTTGAAACATCCAGGCAGGTGTGTTGAGGCAAGTTGGAGCTAAACCCTGCAGGGACACCGGCCCTCCATGACTGAGATTGGTGACCCCTGACCTAGATAAACAATTTACTGTCAGATTTTTTAATGAAAGTTAATCTCTTTAAATTTGAGCTGAACTTTACAGATGCTCCCTAAACATACATAGTCTCTATCAAGTTAGTTGAATTGTTTTAAGCTTAAACAGTCAAAACAAACTTTAGTATCTTCTAAAATATCCACTTGACAGAAAAACGTGATGGTGGATGAGAGTTGATAAATTTGTTGTATTTTGAAAAAAAAATAAATAAATCAACAACTAAATTTTGGTTGAAATCAATACATTTTGGTAACAGAGAAATGCCAACTGGCCCAGCCGGGACTTGAACCAGCAACCTTCTTGCTGTGAAATGACAGTGCTAACCACTGAGTCACAGTGTCACCTTAACTTAATCATTTTTAAGTGGATTGAACATAAAGCAAGTTGTCTCGTAAAAAAACCTTAAGAATTGTGTTATTTCAACTCATTAAAAAAAAGTAGTTTAAGCAATCAGCAAAAGTCATTTTTGAATGTATAATAAAGACCCAAATTACTGATTTACAGTCGGATTTATGACTGAAAGTCATTCTCTTCAAATTTAAGTTGACTTTTAAACATGCTCCCTAAACATACATAATCTATATTAAGTTGATTGAATTGGGTTAAGCTTAAACAGTCAAAACTGCGGAAAACTTGACTGAAAATCATGAGGAGGACAAATGAGCAGGCAAATTTAAATTTAAAATACCATGTTTTGGGTTAAATCAATAGATTTTGGTAACAGAGTAACAGAGTAGAGAGAGCTATTTGATTCACTGTAAAACCCAAAGAGTTAAGGTAACCCAAGTCATTTGAGGAAACCGATTACAACAAACCATTTAAGTTCAAAAACTAATCCTAATAAGTGCTGTAAACTTAATCCATTTGAGTAAATTAAGCAATTTGAGCAAAGTAAAATCCAATAAATGAAAATAACTCAAACCACCTGAGTACTGTAAAACCCAATGATTTAAGATAACTCAAACCATTTGAGGAAATGATTGCTACAAACAACCATTTGAGTTTAAAAACTAATCTATATGAGTACTATGAACTTGCTCCATTTAAGTATCGAGGTATTTATTTAACTCATTACCTTCAACACTGAGTTCAAAACTCTCTCCAAATGAGTAAAATTAACTTTCAGTCAGTTTTAAGTTAACTACACTCATTTCATTTTATAAAGTTGACTGTTGGGTTTTACAGTGTATCATGATATTAGTTACACTTTAACGTGTCAAAGAAAAAAACTTTGTTCTACACGATGACGACAATAGTAAAGGTTATGTTCAAGGGTAGATTTAGGGAAAAGTCCCTTGGTATTAACCAGTTCATGTAATGACTATATATAAGTACATACTGTAGTAAGTGCTGAACAGGACTATAAAATAAATTTTAAAAAGGGCTACAATATATATTTAATCTACAACGTTCATCATTTTGATCAAATTATTTGATGTTTCTATATTCAATATTGAGCTTATGCTTGTGCAAAATGATGCTGTAACATGATTAAATTCTCTTACTGGAATTCTGAACAAATCACATGGTGAAGTGCAGGAAATGTACATTTGAAGAGTTCACTCCTTAAAAGGATGTTTACTTAATTATGAGCTATTAATAATTAATATTTAACAGAATAGTACATAAAAGTAAACAGGATGGAATAAGATGGTAATCAGATTGATATATGTAACCTGGAATAATGTATTATTAAAAAAAAAAAATATATATATATATATATATTCTTGAAGTTGGGTCTCCAGGCCATGATACCACTATTAAATCAGTTGTCATATCTAGTAAGATTTATCAGACTATTTAAATTTGTTTATTCATTTTCTTTTTGGCCTATACCCTTTATTAATATGGGGTCACCACAGAAATTATATTATATTTACACTATATTCTTATTAGTGGACATCAAGTTTTTTTCTGATTGGTGATATTCTTTAAAATACATACTCTTGGTAGCACAAAAATATCCCCAAACTGTTTCTTTATACAAAGTTCATACATACAATAAGTGTCACTTGTTTTTTTGTTTGTTTGTTTTTTACTTATACGTTGCACGCACTCATTTGTTAACATTACTGTAGCTATACACTGCTAACTATACAGCTGAAAGCAAAATTATTCACCTATTTCACATATTTGCCAAATGCTATTTTCACAGTTTTTCTGATTAGATTTTTTAATTCTCATTACGTTGCTGATTAGCAGAAATAAAAACAGTTTTTAGAGTTATTATTTGCTTCCTTATATTTGTGTGCGGCGGTAGTCTCACACGTGATGGCAATGATCCTTTTGATGTGTCACCCACTGTATGTCACTACCAGTCAAAAGTTTGGGGTCAGTAGGATTTTTAAATGTTTTAAAATGAGCTTATCCTGCTGACCAATGCTGGATTTATTTAAAAAATACAGTACAAATTGTAAAATTGTAAAATGTTGTTGCCCTATAAAATAACTGTTCAAAAGTAGTTTATAAGTAAATTTGATCATTTATTCCAGTAATTTTAAAAATGAATTTTCAGCTTTATTACTCCAGTCCCCAGAGTCACATGATCCTTCAGAAATCATTGTTCTGTTGGAAAATAAATAATGGTCGAACTAAACGCAGTTGGAATAGCATGACGCTGCAAGATGCTGTGGTAGCCATGCTGGTTCAGTATGCCTTCAATTTTGAAGAAATCCCCAACAGTATCACCAGTAAAGCACCCCCACACCATCACACTTCCTCCTCTATGCTTCACAATGGGAACCAGGCATGTAGAGTCCATTCATTCACCTTTTCTGCATCGCACAAAGACACAGTGGTTGGAACCACAGATCTCAAATTTGGACTCATGAGACCAAAACACAGATTTCCAATGGTGTAATGTACATTCCTTGTGTTCTTTAGCCCAAACAAGTTCTGCTTGTTGCCTGTCCTTAGCAGTGGTTTCCTAGCCGATATTCTACCATGAAGGCCTGATTCACACATTCTCCTCTTAACAGTTGTTTAAGAGATGTGTCTGCTGCTAGAACTCTGTGTGTCAGGTGACTACCTCTTATAGCTCATCAAGAGAATGCCAAGGGTGTACAAAGCAGTAATCAAAGCAAAAAGTGGCTACTTTGAAAAACCTAGAATTTGATATATTTGCAGTTGTTTCACACTTTGTTATGTATATAATTCCACATGTGTTAATTCATAGTTTTGATGCCTTCAGTGTGAATCTGCAATTTTCAAATTTCAGAAAGTGTGTCCAAATTTTTGGTCTGTACAATTTCAGTTGGCTAATAAACTACTGTTATTCAATGACTTGTCTGATTAACCTAGCTTGCCAAGTTTACATAAAGAAACCTAATTTGCTCAATGATTTTACTAGTATCTTGGAAGATAACTTGTAATATATTATATAACATCATCAGGGCAAATACAAAAAAAAGAGTTATTAGAAATGAGTTATCAAAACAATTATGTTTAAACATATACATCTCTCTATTAAAAAGCACTTGTGAAATATTTTTAAAAGGATTAAA